TCTGAAAGGTCTTTTCCAACCTAAATGATTATATGATTCTAAGATACCATTATTTATCCAAAGTAATACCAGGTCAGGTTACTCCCTGAGGAAAAGAAAAAACAGGATACTTGGTTTGTAGAAGACTGTAGAACAGAATGGAAATACGAGGCTGTTCTCTGTACTTTTTATGAAAAGCAAGAACCCAAGATAACCTGTTTTTTGTTTCTCAGCAGGGGAGGTTTACTTTGAAATGCATGAAGATAAAATATGCAGAGCTATAGCACAAATGCTTTTGCAAAATGCAGTTAAATTCAATCTGTCAGAGTTTCAAGAAGTCTGGCAACAAAGTGTCCCTGAAGGGATGACAACAAGGCTTGATCAGCTTAAGGTAAAAATGTAAAGAAGTATGGATTCTTTCGTGAGTAGGCTGTTAACTGACTTGTGTCATACGTAGATTTTATCAATTAGTGGGGATCGATTGTGTTATTTCTGTCAGCTTTTGAGTTAAAGTACTTCTTATGACATCCTCTATAAGCGTCATTAGTCTGGAATCATGACAATTCAGGTTTCTGTAAGCCTGGTGTGTTTCACTGTTTGAAGAAAAGCTGCAGCTGTACAGTTAATACTTGTAACTAGAACAGAAGCTGAAGCTATTGCTGAGCTATGAAAATCCTTCTGCTCAAAGGAGACAGAGGGATGTTGGGACTTAATGAGTCTCCCCCTCCCTTCTTGTTATAAAGGAAAAGATAAATACTGCCTGTAAAATAGTGCCTTTATGATACTTTTTCACTTTGCCTCTAGTAGTGCAGTTTTAGGCGGCTTCGTAGGTGCAAAGGGCAACTTGAATGGGTTATTACCAGGAAGAAGTGGATTATTGCCATAAAGAAGGAAGTTTAATTGTTTTGTCTTTACTTAACACTTCCTCTCTGATGCTGACCTACAGGGCTTGGCTCTTGTGGATAAAAGCTCAAGACCAGAGACCATCTTTCTGCTAAAAGTAGAAGACTTACCTGAAGACAATCAGGAAAGATTCAACAGCTTATTCAGCATACGGGAAAAGTGGACAGAAGTGGATATTACCCCTTATATACAGTAAAGATACATTTCTTTTTATTAAAATATAATTAGTGTTATATTCTTCCCTTTTTGCGTAGTAGCTATGATTGCCTCCAATACTATAGTTTCCATTTTAAATGAATACAAATTCTGTATGAATAGAATCCCCACCCCTGGGAACTGTAGCTATATTCGTTGGATTTAAACTTGCATAAAAAGCTGATCCTATGGGTTTAAATGGGTGATAACTCTGTCTTATTTCATTGGGGGAGACTTAAAGGATAAACCTCCTGACATTTATAATTAGTCTCCATATTTACAACACAAGAACTATAGAAGAATAGTGCTTCCTGTACTGCATCCTTTGTTCTTTTGGTGGTAACACTTACACTACAGTGTGGTCTGGAAGGCCCCGCCAGGATACATGTGAGCAGATACAGATGGTAACGCAGAAGTAACTGCATCAAACCTTTATGAGTGGCTCTAAATGTACTGTAATGTAATTAAGTAGTTCAAAGCTAACTGTTTTTGCTACACTGAAAACCTGTTAGAGAACAGTAATAATAAAAACCAACCACCTCCCCCTAAAAACCAAAATCCTTGTTTCTGAAGTAAATAATGTAGTTTTGCCTGTTGCTTACATGTCAAGTCAAGTTCCAAACTTTAGGTTTATGTGAGTTACAGTAGTAGTTTTTTTTCTCCCAATACCCTATTCCAGTTTATTGCTGTATTCTAGAAGTATTTCACGGATTCATTTTGTATGAGAATATCTCTAATGCCAATGTCATCTGCTTTATTTCCTCTATAGAGACTTATGTGCAGAGAAGCAGACAGTTGGTGCTCTTCTGACAAAATATGCTCGCTCCTCAGTGCAGAATGGCGTTAAAGTTTATAATTCTAGAAGACCCATCTCATAACAACTATTGTTTTAAGTACTGAGAATACTGAATGGAGTAACAGTGAATGTTGCTCGTTGCTGCCTTCTGGGGAAAGTTGTCGTCAGCCGGTATGATTCAGTGTTCTTGAGTTTAAGCAGCTAAGCTTCTTGAATGAGTTCTGTTTTCTGCTCAGCCAGGTAGAATGTGAGGGCACTTGCCTCTTCTAAGAAACTATAGTGTCAGCAGCCTTTGCCTGTCTTCCTTTGCCCATCGTTTTTTTCCTTTGTGTCTGTAGTTATGCCAGGAGTCAAGCTACTTCTTGAATACGTTTCAGCTGTCTATCCATAAACTGAAGTCTGACATTAAAAATTAAAAACTCCTTGATAACAATTGAATCAACTGAATTGATTTCGACAGCAACATGGAATGCTTAGTCTTTTGCCCGTTAGCGAGTGTTCTTAAAGATTAAGATTTTGTTGCAGTGTTGACATCTCGAATACTGCAGACCTTGACAAGCTCACAAACAAATTATTCCTGACTGAGACTACACCAGTCTTAATTTTGGAAGGTGGTTCTTTTTGTGGTCATGTCTGTGAATAACATTGGCACAAGCTCTTGACACGCTAACACTTGGCAGAATTGCCTTTTAAATAGTACAAAAAACCAAGCTGCAATCAAGTGTGAAGGTATGAGAGAATAGTTGCACACTGTGTTATGAACTTCCTATAAACTGCCATGAGAATGTAAAATTAATTTTTTACAGAAGACTACCTTTGCTTTTTAAAGAGAGCTTATAAAACTTTGTAATATGATTTTTTAAAAAAAAAACCTTTGTTATGGCAAATAACTGCACATAGAAATCATGTCTTGAAAACAGGGTGGAATATTATTCTGTGTAGAGCAATGAAACAGGATATTTTTTATGATACTGTCATTAAATGGAGCGCCTGAAATTGAAATTTTGTGATCATTAAAAAGGATTGTTTGCATGTCAGCGAGCCAGAGTTTAATATTAGACATTTTTCAGATTTTTTTTTTTTTTAAAACTGAACAACTGTAGGATTTTTCTATACAAAAAGCATTTGCTGCATCAAACTCAGATGTAAGATATGAAAAACTTCAGAACTGCTAGCATGCCAAATGTAGGGTGAGCGGGGAGAGGAAAGAAAGTATAAATCAAATGTAACTCAAGATGGATGTGTGCATCCTTGGAATTTTGTTATAGATAAAAAGCTGAATAAAACCTACTTCCTGAGCTCTGCTTATTCTTGCCCACTGATGCAAAATCAATTCCCTGTGCTCCACGTTTCTGAAGCGTACAAGTGTGGTGTTTGACCCAGTTGTGTAGAGGCTCAGCTGGCCTGTAATGGCTCTCTGCCGGGCAGGAGGCCGTGTTCACCGTCTGGTTTCAGCAGCTGCGGTCCTTTAATAGCACCAGTAAGTTCCCCCTCTGAGATCAACACTAATATGAACGTGAAAGGCTTGGAAATAACCTCCATTGCATCATAGAAGGTTCCTTAGCTGAAATCCACAAGGCGATTAATAGTTTTGTAGTCGGTGATCCAACAGTGTATATTTACATTGGGTTTTGTTTGTGAAACAAGTAAAAACTTAAGTATTACCTGAATAGAGCTGTATCATAATACCAAGGTAATGATTCAGGTTTATCTAAACTATTTTTGCACGTGTAACACAGTCTCCCATAATATTCTCCTTGGGAAGCTGGCAGCT